GGGGGCGCGCACTGGGGAGCTGACCGCTGCGGAGTCCAAGCTGGGCTCCGGGGAGAAGGCTGGGGTGTTCAAAAAGGCCGAGGCTAGAGAAAGGCAGCCAAAGAGGGAGGGGAGGGGTGGAGGGGGAGAGAACGGAAAGAGAGGTTGAGCAACGAGAAATGATGGAAAGGAGAAAGACACTGTGAGCTCTTCCCTGCTTTTTATCTCCCGGACACCAGCCTCGCCTCACCTCATGAAGGGTTGGTTGGGTCTTTGGCGGCCCAGCTCCCCTCCAGCCTCCCGTGCACACACACCCCCTTTTCGCCCTGCCTTCGCGCTGGAGCCAGGCCTGACCGCGGCAGTCGAAGAGAAAACCCCTGCGCTCAGGCTGGCGGGCGTGGTGCCCCATCCAGAGTATGTGAAGCCACCACCTGCCTGTGATGGTTTGTCTAGGAAATTGGGGTAGGAGTGAAAGTGGGGTGGGGGAAGTGTCACTGGTTCTATTTCTGAGCATTAGGGGAGGATACAGCTGGATGAGAGGGAGTGGGGAAGGGAGGGGCTTCGAAAGGGGTAGCAGCATCTATCTACAACCCCCAGCCTGCAGCCTCAGTTAAATACTAATAATGCTCCCAGAGGTGATCTCCTTCAACCTTGCAGGGTTTTATTGAACTGACAGAATTCCTGGGATTAGTAGCTCACTGAGAAATAGGGCTGGAGAAGTGAGGCCGCGACCCATGTCTGGGATATTATTGGGGCAAGGTTAGGGCTAGACCATTGCAGCTCCTTGGATTCCAAGTCCCAAGCCCTGGAGGACTGTGAGACAAGATCTGAAAATTGTTTTGTCTGCACCTTCCTCCTTGGGTTTTCTTTAAGAGAATGTTAGCCAGTGTAACTTCCCAGGTAGGCTCTGAGGGAAAATGTATTTGTTGCTTTGGGGCAGGGGAGGTGGAGGTATCTTAGACCAGGGAGGGAGCAGCAGGGGCCTGGGTGCTTTGAAACTGCTAGGATGGAGGAGGGTGGTTGCCCTACCTGCCCTGGGGAGGTTGTCTTCCCATGACTGCAACTAATTAATTATTGAGTGTTGGGCTCTGTGTCTGCCAAGCCCGTTAGCCCAGATGCCAGGGTGACTCCAGCAACTCAAAACTCTTCAGAGGCCAAGTTGCCATCTTCAGCATCCAAAAAGCAGTAGAAACTGTGAAGAAGGTACCCTTTGGACAGCCCCTAAATTTTAAAAAATACACGTGGCTTTTGTCAACATAGTCATTTTCATCCAACATACTATAGAGAAGGGCATTTTGACTCATAGTGACCCAATGTGACAGAGTAGAACTGCCCCATATGGTTTCCTAGGCTGTAATCTTTATGGAGGAGCCCTGGTGATGCAGTGGTTAAGCACTTGACTGTTAACTGGAAGCTTGGCAGTTCAAACCCACCAGTGGCTCTGTGGGAGAAAGATGTGGCAGTCTACTTCTGTTGCCATTGAGTAGATTCCAACTCATAGTGACCCTATAGGACAGACTAGAACTAACTGTCCCATAGGGTTTCCAAGGAGTGGCTGGTGGATTTGAACTGCTGGCCTTTGGTTAGCAGCCAAGCTGTACCACCAGGGATCCACTGTAAAGATTATAGCCTTGGAAAAAAAACCTATGGAGCAGTTCTGCTCTGTCCTATAGGATCACTATGAATCGAAATTGACTCAAGAGCAATGAGTTTGGTTTTGGTTTGGAATCTTTACCAGAGCAGATCATCAGGTCTTTTCTCCCGCAGAGCAGCTGGTGGGTTCGAACCACCAACCCTTCAACTGAAAGTTAGCTGCTGAGCGCTTAATCTTTGTGCCAGCAGGTCTCCTTAAAGGGCCTTTATGTTGTGTTTTTTAATAGTCTGGCTTTATTTCAAAAGCTGTGAATTATAGATGTCCTGCTTCCGCAACACCTTTCACTCTCACTGCTTGCAAATTCAAAAGAAGTTTTCTATCAGCCTGAGAAGGAATCCTTAGGCTTGACTCAGTGCATATTTAGTTCCTGATATTGTGCCAGCCTTTCCAGGGATAATAGGTCACATTTATAGATTGTTTGCAATGTGTCAGGAACCGTGCTTAGCACATTACATTCATTACTTTTAATCCTCACAACAGTCCTGAGGCGCATACTATTATTATTCCCATTTTTACACATAAGGAAACGGAGGCTCAAATAGGTTAATTAACTTGCCCAAGGTCGCATGCATAATGAGTGGCAGAGATGGGACTCATACTCAGCCTACGTTTTCCTAAGCCCAGTGTTATGTTCAGGTAAGCCAATGTGTTCTCAAAGTGTGGTTCCCAGACCAGCAGCGTCAGCATCACCTGGAAACTTGTCAGAAATGCAGATTCTCGGATCCACCTCAGACCGGCTGAATCAGAAACTCTGGGGGGTGGGACCCAGCAAACTGTTTAACAGGACCTCCAGGTAATTCTGATGCACACTTAGGTTTGAGAACCACACTATTAAACAGTGATATGTTGTATATAAATATAAAACACTGTTCCTGTTCTTTAAAAGCTGCCAGTCTGGTTAGGAAACAAGACCAATGCATATAGAACAATAAAACAAATAAGATGGTGTGTAATCAAGTGACAAATTTCACACTCTGACCATAAACACAGTCAGGAAGGGAGTAGGAACAAAGCAATGTTTGAGTGCCTACCATGTGTTAGCCACTGGTGTTAGGTCTGACGTTTTATAAACCGAAAAACCAAAGCAGTTACTGTCGAGTCAGCTCTGACTCATGGCAACCCTATGTGTGTCAGGGTAGAACTGTGCTCCATAGGGTTTTCAATGGCTGATTTTTCAGAAGTAGACTGCCAGCCCTTTCTTCCAAGGCACCTCTGAGCAGACTCCAGCCTTTCGGTTAACAGCTGAGCTACCTGTTCGCACCACCAAGGGGCTCCCTGACATTTTATATTGTTGTTGGGTGCCGTTTAGTTGGATTCCTACTCATAGTGACCCCATATAGCTGAGTAGAACTGCCCCATAGGGTTTTCTTGCCTGTAATCTTTACAGAAGCAGATTGCCAGGTCTTTTTCCCACAGAGCCGCTGGGTAGGGTTGAACCGCCAACCTTTTGGTTAGAGCCACCAGGGCTTCTTGACATTTTATATATATACCAAAAAAAAAAAAACCAAATCCATTGCCGTCGAGTTGATTTTGACTCATAGCGACCCTAGAGGACAGAGTAGAACTGCCCCATAGGGTTTCCAAGGAGCACCTGGTGGATTCAAACGGCTGACCTTTTGGTTAGCAGGCGTAGCGCTTAACCACTATGCCACCAGGGTTTCCTTGATATATGTATATGATCTAATTAAAAATTTAGGGAAAGGATCACAGTAATAGTGAGGAGTCAGGAAATTCTCCTGAAGAAGTGAATGCTTAAACTGAACCTTGAAAAATGGGTAGAATCCAGATGGGCAAAGATGAGGGGGTGACACACCATCCACGAGCAGAGGAATGGAGCAAGGGTGAGTGTTAGCGACCATCTGACGAAGGGACCAGGCCGACTGGAGAGCAGAGATCCCACCTCTGTCACTCACCAGCGGGATGAGCTTAGGCATGTTTTTCTAACTTCTAGGCCTCTGTTTTCTCATCTGTATCAATAGAATAATAGAGTTGTTGAGAGGATTAAAAGGAAATAGTAAAGCATCTGACCTCACCTTACTATAGCCTGGTACATGATGAGCGCTCAATAAGCATTAATTATTACTTTTGTTATTTAGTACCTGACACATAGGAAGCATTCAGTAAATATTAGCTTTCTTTCCCGATTCACTTAATGTGTTCAAGTGACTTGTGTCTTGACTTCATTTTAGGATAACTAGACATTATCTTCTCCTTTTGTATACATGGATTTTTCCCCAACAGAACTTAAGTGCTCTGAGAGCAGGAATTTTTTTTCTGTTTTGTTCACTGCTATATCCTTGGGGCCTAGAACAGTGCCTAGCACATAGGAGACGTTGGTATAAATGTTTGTAGAATGAATGAATAGACCTGCAGGTTAGGGAACTTTGTACCAGCGGCCTTCCTGATTTGCAGATAATCAGTTACCAACTTTATCTGGAGGACTGAGCTAAGATCTGATCCATGGGCCTATCTATCCCTGCCTGCTCATTACCTGTTGGTTTGTTCTTTGCATGGAGTGAACCCAGGAGGGAAATATGGGGGACTCTCTCTCTCAGTTCCATTGCAGAAGTGGCAGGGACTGGGAGTCTCAGAACAGCAGCAGTTCCAGGCAGCCTTTCCATGTTTACATGCACAACCAAAGGGAAAGCAACAAACTGAAACAGGTACTTAACGATTTGGGGGAAAACCGTTGTTTGGGATAAATGTGTCTAGATATCTACCTTCACTGAAACTAAGGAAACCTGATTCCAGAAAAGCCCCACCCTAGTTTCTGAAGTTGTTTTTTCCTGGTTGTCAGGGTTTGCCGGGGAGTCTGGGGAAGGGGTGGAGGATCGTTTTCCTGAGAAGATAGGCTTTAGCTATAACTTACCGTGTGACATTGTCACACAACCTTAGATGCTTATGTGCCTGCCCTTCTGAGGTATAGGGTCCTTCTGGGTGACAGCACTTCCTTTCCTGTCAGAAACTCACCAGAAGGCAGGCGTGGAGCTGGGGCGGGACATTCTTTGTGATCCACAATTTGATGAATTGATTTGCAACCTCCTTCTGGCAACTTGGTTTTAGTTTTCCTCGGCTCTGCTCCTGGCTTCATAAACATTCAACTCAGTCCTGCCAGAGCCAGCATAACACTCCTTTGCCAAGAGCCGCTGACTCTGTTCACCATTGAATTTTAAAAAGCAAAAGTATAGCCTAACCATTAGCCCCACTAAATTAATTTCTGTAATGGTTGATGTCTCACTCGAAACCCCTCCCAGCATCTGTCATGTCTAAATTCGGACACAACGATCAGATAGCAGGGCATATTCCTGTGTCTCTCGTTGAAATCACCTTTATTTTTTTCCCCCGTTGCATAGCAATATAAATAAAACACCACAACCCACCAAGCCACACATGTTGGCTTACAGAAAAACCTGGGCGCTGTTTATTCCTTGGTTTATTGTTGTATGCTCAGCATTTTCCTATCATTGTGCTGTACTATGCTGCTCCCTGTTACCGACCAACAGGAAGCAGGACTGTTCATTGTTGAAGTCACATGCCATATATGGCAAGTTTGAAGTTGCTGTCTTTTCCTTCTCAACATTAACGCAGCTTTGGATTTTCACTTGGTGATGCCTAACAGGCGCTTTTAGGACAGTGGGTGTCTCATTGGTTTGGGAATGAAAACATTTGATTCAACTGACGCTTACAGAGGCCATCTCTCCTCCTGTCTCCGAAACTTCTCAAACAGTAACTTCAGAGCTACCTACCACCTGTCAGAAACTCTGGTAAGAAAAAAATACCTAAAGAAAGTGTTCTTTGGGAGTCCGTCCGAAAACTAGACCACCCTAGAAGGCAGATAGGAATGTCCTCAGCCCCTCTATAGGATAGTCTTCGTTTCTGATTTCTGCCAAGGTAGGAAGAGAGCTGCAGTGGCCAGGCTCCCTAGCATGGACGACAGGGGCCTAGTGTGCAGAGAGAGGCAAGGAGTTTCCACGGGGCCAGTCTGGAGAGACCAGAGCCGTGGTTCAAACACGTCTAGGAATTAAAAGTCTGAGAGTAGATAGTGACATCACACTACCTGGGGTTACTCCTGGCTCTACTATTTACTAGCTGGGAGATCTTGGACAAGTTATTTAACCTCTTTGAGTCTCTGTTTTCTAATCTATAAAATAGACATAATAAAGCACTAACATCAAAACTATGATCTTTGTTCAGATAAAGTGAGTTAATATATGTGAAGTACTAAGCATGGTAGAAGCACATAATGAAAACTCATTAACATAAGACATTATTAAAAAATAAAAAAAACCCGTTGCTGTTGAGTCGATTCCGACTCATAGCAACCCTAGAGGACAGAGTAGAACTGCCCCACAGGGATTCCAAGGAGCAGCTGGTGGATTTGAACTGCCGACCCTTTGGTTAGCAGCCACAGTTCTTAACCACTGTGCCACCAGAGTAGTAGTATCTAAATACAAGAAGTACAAGTGGGAAAGTAGAATCCACAATCCAAGAGGAAAAGCAAGCAGATGTCCTAGATCCAAGCAAGCAAAGCTGCAAGAGTCTTCTAGCATCTCAAGGCCATGAAGTCAAAAGGGGCAACTCCTCCCTCTGTCATCAGTTCTTTCAGCAAACGTGCTCACCATCTCTTATGTGCCTGGCACCCTGCTCGGTGTTGGGAATTCAAAGACACAGTCCTTGATCTTGAGGCACTCAGGCCTTTGTGCAATGCTCCTTTTTGCCTTTGCTTATAGTTTACTGCCTGTCTAGTATCTGTGCTCCTCGAGGGCAAGGACTGTCATACTGGTGTCCCCCTTCTTCCTACCCCTCAGCACCTAGTAGGTTCAGCTTCAGCTAGCAGGGTTGTGCTCACTGACCCTGGAGAAGGAACTGTTTGTCACCTGCCCCGCCTTTGTGCCACCAAGTGGACGCCAAGGGGTGGCAATGGGGAAACTTTGGCTAATCAGTCCTTCTCAAACTTTAAAGTGCATACAGATCACCTGGGGATCTTGCTGAAATGTACATTCTGATGCAGCCAGTCTGCATTTCGAACAAACCCACAGGGATGGTGACGCAGGTGCTGTCAGTCTGGGAAGCATACTGGAAAACCACTAGCTTAGATCTTGGCTGGAAGAGGTCAGAGACCCACAGATGGCTTTTTGTTTCTGGATGGGGCGGGGAGGGCCGTCTCTCTTGGCTTGCTTGTGGCCGTTCCCTTAATTCCAATTGCCACTTTACCGTTACTGTTTTAAGACACGATTTTTCACCCTAAGAATTGATGGTTTCTGGAATCACCACGTGGCCACCTGGCCATTGTCCATTTCATTTCACTGTGTTATTTCTAGAACATCAGTCATGCAGTATCTTGGGCTCACCAACCCTGTGTGACGAAAGAGAACATAAGCTCCATCTCTCACCTTAATATCAACAGTTGATATCACAACAGGGCTGTTCTCCTGAAGCAAGTGATGTTTTACTGACCAACGAGACAAATCATGTCAAGGTCACTAAGGAATGAAGAAGAGAATGAGGCAGAAGATGAGAATACCAGTTGGGCTCAGAGCACATCTTACAGATGACTAAGGGTTACCTTGGCCTGCCTTTTCATCCTCTTTGGATTTGATAGGGAACAAAAATAACAATGATAATTAGTATTTGTATGATGTTTTAGTTTGCAGAATGCTTTCACATGTATTACCCCCCATTTGATAATGTATCACAACAGTCCCACGAAATAGATGTTGTTATCCCCATTTTATAGATATGGAAGCTGAGAGTCATGCACAGTCGGTGGTATGTCTAAGATCAGAGTCAGGGAAAGCCAAAGTCAGAATTCATACCCAGATCTCCTGGTTTTAAACCCCACATTTTTTTCATTGTATTAACTTATTAGAACCTGTGGAATATGAGATATGAGAGATGCTGCTGGCTTGGAAAATGTGAAGGCTGAGACCAGAGAGATTATATCCAGCCTCAGATTTAGTCTTGATGCATTCCAGAAATGCAGATACAAAGAGATAGGAGAAGCAGGTTAAGGGCTGAGAACAGTTTGGAGCAGCGGCAAAGGAAGTTGGAGAATTGAGAAAGGGTAGGCATCAAAACACATTTTAGAAAAATAATTTCAGTAGCAAAAACTGAAGAATGATAAACATTATATAAATGCTAGCTATGTGCTAGTACTTTTCTAAGCACATTTTTATAGTAAGTCCTTTAATCTTCACAGCAGCCCTACGAAGGGAGTCCCTTGGTGGCACGAACGGTTAAGCACTCAACTTCCAACTCCAAGATTGGCGATTTGAACCCACCCAGAGGCACCTCGGAAGAAAGGCTTGGCGATCTGATTCCAAAAGATTCCAGCCTTGAAAACCTTATGGAGTGCAGTTCTACTCTGACATTCATGGGGCCACTATGATTTGGAATTGAATCACCAGAAATAGTTTGGTTTGAGTTTATTATCATCCCACAGAGGTACAGAGTGTAAATGACCCACCCAGGGTCTCAGAGCTAGCTCATGGCAGAGCTGGGTTTCTGTGTGTGGCTCTTGAGTCTGTGCTCTTAACTACTCCACGACTACAGACTAGAGAGGAGAGAAGGTTGAAGCTATGACAAGCATGTGAATTCTAGACCTGTGCTGTCCAATATGGTAGCTACTAGTCACAAGTGGCTATTTAAATTTAAATTAAGTGAACTTAAATATTCAGTTCCTAAGTCTCAGTAGTGGCTACAGTATTGGATGGCATAGACAGAAAATTTTCATCATTGGAGAAAGTTCTGTTGGGCAGCTCTAGCCTAAATATATTTATTCTTTCTCTCATAAATACATCTTTTCCTGTTTTTCTCTTAACTGGGTCTTTAAAAAAAAACAACTGAGATTAAAGAGAGATGGGAACATACTTTCTGTAAAAGTCACTGACATTTCTAGTATAGAAGGTTTAGGAAACTCAAGGGAATTCCAGCTGTCATGGAAAGAGGGAGCATAGAGCTAAAATAAAAATTAGTAAAGAAAGGCAGCAGAGGACAAAGTTATTGGTGTCGTGGGAGCAGTGTTTCCTATTTCAAGTAGGATTAAGTTTTCAGTTTGAATATAACAGCAGTTCTACCAATACAATAATAACACTAAGTGCCAAGCATTCACTGTTTTAAGTGTGTAACATGAACTCATTTAATTCCTTAAGGAGATACTATTATTACCTCCATTTTGAAGACGAAGAAGCTGAGGGTCAGAGAGATTAAGTGACTTGCCCAAGATCACAAGACTAGTAAGTCGCAGAGCCTGATTCAAACCCAGACTGCCTAGAATCCCTGTTTTTATCTCCTGCACTCCCCTACACCGCAGGGCTATATGTGCGGATGTTTTTGTTCTTATCCTGCATAAGGGCATCCTTATCTAGTCTAAACACTCAGAAGAGGTAAAATTTTCTAGGAGACCAGTTGGCAAACATTCCAGACTGTGTGCCAAGCCCTTTCTCCCTTGGTAGTGGTGATTGGGAAAGAATCAATTTATAAACCGAAGGCAAGAGAACCGGGCAGGGTCAGCAAAGCCCCCTAACATTGCCGAGATGCATTGGAAGCTGCTGCCTCTCATCCCTGAAGCCCACCTGGTCTTCCTGCTCAAGCTCAATCTGTCTTGTCTTTTGTAAATAAGGCCGATGCTGCCTACCTTCCTGACCTCAAATGTGTTCTGGTA